TACATCAGATAGAAGAGAATTCCATACGCCGCACACTCTGACTGCAAACGAGTGATACCGGCACCCAAGGTGGCTGTTCTGGGTCTTCACTTTTATTGGATGTCCCTTGAGGTGTTCATTATGAGAACAGTCAGAAGTCATAGGATTTTTAAGGCAAAATTCCCATTTTACTTAGCCGCGTTCAATGTCCGCACACTCTCTCAGATTGAACAACAAGCTGCTTTAGCTAGAACCCTTGAAACTTTCAAATAAGATGTTTGCTGTCTCCGAAACACGCATACAAGACCCTACTTCAATTATCTCCCCGCGTTATCCTGATCCAACCTAAACGTCACAATTCACTCTCCGTGTGTCAGGCGATTCGACATCCGAAGCTCGCTAGTGTTGAGACTGCTCTAAGTGCCAAAGCAGAGCGAGCACTTCTCGCCTGGATTCGTCAGTAGCCGACTGTGCGCTGTACGTTGCAACGGACAGTACGGATCAACAACTACAGAAAGAAGCGTCGATGCTTATTCATCGTATCGGTATATGCACCGACCGATTGCGGTACACCTGAAATCAAGGATGAATTCTTTCAAAGATCTTTCTCAATTACTCCAGTGTTCGATCAACGGACGTCGTAGCAGTCAATGTTCAAGCGAGATTCCTGGACGAACCAGAAAGGCTCCTTGGGGGACCAAATGCACTCCAAGCCAACCGGATGGACAACGGAGATCGCCTACTTCAACTCTTCGCGGAACACGAATTGTTCCTGTCTCGCACAAGAAACGACACCGCCTTACATGGAAACCGACAACCTTTTCAGAACGCTGGACCCAAATCGACCACATTGCCATCAGTTACCGCTAGAGGGCGCGCGCATCAATGATCATACCGATTTACCAGAAAGGTGAAAACCATAGGGGAATTAGTTTAATCAACATTGCTTCTAAACTTCACGCAGGTTCTATACTCCGTTGATTGTCCGCCGAACGTGAATGGTGCACGGGTGAGAAACAGGCTGGTTTTAGACCTGGTCGAGGTTGTATCGACCACATCTTCACTCTTCATCAAATTCTGGAGCACCGACATTCTTTCCTTAAACCCACAATCTCTGTCTTCCTGGATCTGAAAGCGGTTTCCAACTCAGTCGACCGCTTTAAACTCTGGTGCTGCCTTTCTCTGAAGGGTGTTCCCGAGGATTTTATTTCCAGATTACAATCTCTGTACAATAACAGCCGAAGTCGAGTCCGAGCTCACGGCACGTTTTCGTTCGAGTTCACCACGGAAAGTGGTCTTCGTCAGGGTTGCCTTCTCTCTCCTTTATTATTTAACGTTGCTGTAGATTTGACTAGGGAAACAGCCCTATCCTCGTGCGAAGATAGTGGCATCGATCTACTCCCAGGTGGCAGATATCATTAGTGCTCGTGATATCACCTCGGTTGGTGATGAAACGTTTGCAAACGAATTGCGAAGCTCGGCGAACAGGAGAACTAGAATTCAGTTCACCTGAGCTACGAGAACCGATTTTCAATACTTTGTCAATAAACGCCTTGTGTTTCATCAATGGTTCTTCGTTCAATTCCACTGCTAATTGTGAACCAACTAAAACGTGTGTTTTCTTCACTGACATATTCGGTTCACACTAACCCGGTGAAACATCATAAATTCACGCCACGGAGAAAGAACATCACACTGTTATCAATACGGTGCAATCTGGTCAGAAAGAATTCTTTCCAAAAAAAACTCAACCGCATCGCCGGCAGAACCGATTGCCTCTGCTCAAGCGTGTAACCAAACCGAGAATGTTAAAAATAAAACAGACGAAAATTGTTCAATAATCATTTTTTTCTGAGTGCAGAGAATAATTGATTCTGTTCAAATGATAAATGCACCTGCGTTCAAGAGGTCGACTGCCGTGGAATTCTTATGTACAATAGTAGACAATAAAGGGGCTGTTGTATTAACGCAATGTTTTGGGGCAGGAACCATATGGTCGAATAGTTAGACTATAGATGGACTGAGCATTGAGTGAGAACACTTTATTCTTGTCTTCGATCGAACCGTACCCTGCGTCACCCATTGCATACTCGACCAATCGAGCAGATTCCCACATGTTAAGCACGGACAGTGGGACCCCGCGACGCGCTCGTTTCACGGCAATTTCACCAGGAACCTCGCCCGTGTCCAAGGACTTGGCCATAATTGCCTGATCCGCCCAACCGGTTTGTGTGGGTTCGATCAAGCGACAAAGTGGCCAACCGGATCCAAAAATGCATCGATCGGAACCAAAACAGCTGACTGCGTGTGAGAGGGATGAAAGCGCGCACCAATCATTCGAGTTTGTCGCCATTCCAGTAGCTCCAGTCACCTTGCAACTCACATTAGGATATCGGCTCAGAAATTCCAAATCTTGGCGCCACGAGGAGAAAGCCAGGTTGTTCACTACGCATAAAAGGGGACACGAGAAACCGAGGGAGTGTAGGGTCGAAGGATTCAACTTACTAAATTTACAAATGCTGAGCACAGATATATGGCTATTGATTGGTAGATAGATGTAAAGTAGACAAAAGAAACAAAGAGTGAACTGCCTCTTTCTCTGCCAGTCTTCGTTAAATTCAGTGAAAAGTGGACGCCACAAGTATCGTAGGATGTATGCGCTTTGCGTTGGCAAACTCAAACCTCTAAGTAGTTCTCTCAGCTCGGTTTGCAACCGTTTCGAACTAAATTCTGAAATGAAAGACCGCATTTATTCACTACATGTACTGTAAGACTGCTAGTCAGTTCAGTATTGTCCTTAAAGTTGTGCTGCGTTTTTTACCGCAGCCGTCAAAGTAGAAATTCACTCAGTGAACACTAACATCAAGAACATTCACCTTTACAGAGATCCATGTCGTGGTAGTGGCTTCGGTTAACACTCTTTTCTTTATAAACATTTATTGCACATATGCATACCTTTGTTTCTTTAAGTATTTCCCAAAGCGGTGAGCATCTCTGAACACGTTCAATGCAACGGCCGAAGGCTGTAAATCAAATGTTTGTATGAAGCAACTTGTCTTGTTCCTATTCTGGTCAACGGAATAAGGGGGATCTCTGCCCCTCAACATGGAGGAATCGAAATCTGTACAACACAAAAATACATTTCAAACATCGTGAGACAATTGCAGGTCACTTAACGGCCACTTTGATATTAACAAAAGCGAAGTTATTCTCATCATTAGCATTATGTTACTGCAGGCATTTTAAGTAGTTACATTAGTAATACAAAAAACAAACACCCACGTCGAGGCTCACCTCCGTGGGCTGCAGTGTAATAGACTGGGAGACCACAGTGATTCAAAACCAATTTCAGTCGCGGGTGTCGATAGGCCAAATGACATGCGTGCCGAAGTTGATGTGGACCAATTGCCAAATCAAATGGAAGACTCAAGTGCTCTATAGCCGAAATATTATCATCAATCTGAGTAGAGAAATAAATACGATGGAAAATATTATTAAAATAGATATTCGTGTGGTACAGTCTTAGTGATTAGCAAATACAATGAATAAACAAGACCAATAAGTAATCCCCCTCTCAAAAATCCACTTGGATTTGAGGCTATTAGTTGGAAACTGCGTAGATTAGGGTACTTGCAACTGCTACACATTGTTCAAATTGTTGTTTGGCAGATTTTAAGTTTGTATGTCGATTGTGAAAAGTTCAGTAGCCTCGGTGGGATTCGAACCCACGCACGGATGCCGCCAGTGTGCAGAGGAAACGGAACTGTATGCAGGACTGAGCACTAGCTTCTACTGAACTGAGCCCGGATGCTCAGGAACCGGTTACGAACTCAGTATTGTCTCTTGAAGAACAGAGGTGAGTAGATTTCGTTACTGCCTTCAACCCTGTTATATAATCCTGTATTCATCGATGCGGGATTGGGGTACAGTTTGCGGTTCAGTCAGTTCATATTTATCCACAATTGAAAGATGCAACATGCCGAACCCGCACACGATAATAACTGAAACGACCAATAAATGAATCGTGTTGCAAAGATCGTATTCGGCTCCATTCTTCTATCTGCCCTATTCTACTGGTTCTCGACAGTCGAAGTAGCAGCTTGCTCCAAAGAATCCCAGTTAGGGCATTCGTAGGTGTATTGCACGATTACGATTCTATGAAACGGAAACACCGCCGTCATTATACAGTAAATCACGAAAAGTACGCATCAATGTTTGAACATGTGTCATTGATATTCTGCGGCTGTTTGTAGAGAAACTGATCGATTATGTGGGATAATAGAACCAGGCACCCCCGTATGTGGCTGAATGGAGCAGGAATGCATGGAATGATAGAAATATCAACGGGAGTACACATCTCTATGCAAGGAATGTGTGAGGTAAGCATAAATCTTATGGGCAATATAAAAAATTGGCGTTTTATTTTTCGATCGGATAGAGTTTCATAATCACCTCAAGGTTCAAAATTAGAACAACTGTTGATGATATGCCCGTCCGAAAACAACCAAATAGTAACGTTTAAAGACGATGGACATACGATGAACGAGCAGTGAATTCAACTGGGAATGAAAAATAATATAACAATATAAAAATGATCAATACCCTGGTACGAAATTAAATGTGACTCCATATCGTTCCCATCGAAGAAGCCATAAATATTGTTTTGAAGTATTTCAGTAAAGATGACGTTAAATCTGTGTTTTCGGGATATTTAGCCCATTATCATGGACAGATCTCCAACCACATGGTTGAGCTTACCATGGAAAGCTCTCTTGGACAAGCTTTGACTGTTATCTCTCTACCCTCCTCAGAGAATAGGTTAGAAAATGAAATTAAGTAAATTTTTTTAAATAAATGTTCGGTTGATGATATCCTAGGATTTATGCGAAATTTCCAAGAGCAGACTGTCTTATTTGATATATTAAATCCTCTCTTTCTTTGCACCCAATCACAAATTTACGTCAGAGTGTGAAAGCAATAGCGCTCTACATTTCCTGTACCCACTGCTTACTCAGCTACCACAAGAAAATTGCCAGAGTTCAGAGTTAGAAGTACATCTGGACGGGACAACAAACGCCATTTAAAAGCCTGTATCCAGTGACATATATGCTTGATCTGATTATGTTATTGCAGGGAACGCGCTGATTTTGTTGTCCTCAAGTTTTTGCAACCTTATTCAACAAACTGAATAGCGGTACTCCTGTTGCATTTGTGCAAATGTATGTCACATCTACCATCCTGGGAACATAATGCACAGTGACGAACGAGGACTGGTTCGTCAGTCTGACGTTCGAGGTGGATGATGGGGTTACAAACCAGCTGTCGACTCACCAATGAGAGATAGTACATAAAAGTAATCACTTGAGCCGATTGGGCTTTCCTGTAACTTCCACCTGTATCTCGTTGTATCGATGATTCTTCCGTGGAACTAGAAATGAATATGAGGGGGATGCAGTTAAAGCGGTTATTGCATCGCTTGTTGGCCAATTTGCATAATTCATTCATGGTTTCTTTGATCTGGACATTTGTGATTGGAGCCGACATAGGATGTATGTCATCTGTCAACCTGGGTTATGCTCCAAAACACATTGATCCTCGGGGGAAAGTACGACAATTTTACGGCATTTATTAGACCCCAGTCACCCATCCGATGCACCAAAGGTGTTTCAGTTCAAAAAAGCCCTCGAACTTCATGGATTTTATAACACCTAGTGGTGTAAAATTTTCGTTATCTGAAAGGGCAACTGTCTTCAATATCATTTTTGTTAAAAGTGTTGTTGCGTGGTAGTATTCACGTCACCTCGGACACCACCGTTTCAAATTACGTCTACCATAACGGCTGTTTGTTATGGTTTTACTACAGTTGTTTTCTGTGTAGTTTTGTTTTGTCATGAACAGAAATGGAACAGTGAGTTGTGATTTTCTGACGGTGACTGTGACATATGTGTATGAATATGATGATCAAGTGAACAAGCCTGGTACCAACGCAACAAAATACCCCTCGACCACCATTGTGTTGCACCTTATTATCAAGTAAAACTTCATACAAGCATGCCAATACCAATCAAATAGAGTTATCGTGATGAAATCTGAACATAATACTGAGCCGATCCCTTTCCAACGTGCTGGTTGAATGATTAATCGGCATTGAAACGCATTCCTAATCATCATTCCTTGATTGATGAATATCACAATTCACTTCCCTTGGTAATCATGTCTTAGCAAAACACGGTATCGTGGACACAGTTGTAAGCATTCCTTAACTGTATCGTTCCTTCTGTTGCCATGACAATAATCACAAGCGTTAGATCNTTAGATCATTTTGCGAGCCCGCTATTTGACATGACCCATCAAAATTACCGGCGTCCACATATCCTCGTGAATGTTCATGTCTTGTTCCCCTCAATATAATTAGTTGTAACTATTACTGTTCTGTCCGTTGTTTACATGGAAACGTTCGTGGTGACAACTTTTATCGAACACAGCTCAAATCTTTTCGCATGTCTGTTAACCTCACGGATGAAATATGAGGAGATTACGTACTCGGGCTTGCTATTTTCATCGTGATTGCACAGAATCGGTTCTGGAATGGCATACTGTGCACATCGAATATGAAGATATAAGCTCAACAGGTACTATTTCCGTGGATATTTAAATCCGGCGTATGAGGTCACCTGATCTACAGCTGTCTCCCGTTGTGTAACAGATTTTGAAACACTGCAATCTCACATTGAAAGTTTTGAAATCAGTTTGACGCTTTTCGCCTGTATTGTGTTTTGACTCTTCTAAGGGAGCCAACGGGAACCAAAGTCAAATTACCTAATGGAATTTCATTGTTTGCGAATCGGTCACCCACCACCCCGGACTAACTTCTCTGACGCATAATGTTTTAAATATGCTCTGTTCTCACTTAGTTGTAACAAATGGTTGGGTTCCATCACTGTCGATTTAATTCATTCAGTAAACCGGCCTTCACCGCTCCCACTTATGTTTCAGATCAGGCCCATAGTGTGGACTGTGATACAGCTCAAATGACTAAGTCCGGGGGCTTGATCCGCGTTATTGTTCATTTTGCATGAAACCATCAGCTAGTAAAAGGGCTTGTCCACCCAAATCACATTGTTCACTGTTTAGGAGCTGATGTGAGTGTACCGATGCTGCACCCTCAATTTGACTAATTCATACATTGCAGTTTGATTCATATTATGCGTGCTTACGCATCTGTTCAGTCCATTCTATAGATGGATGATCACCTAACTGAGTTTCTTTCAATGGCTCACTAATTGCGTAACATCACCATAAAGAGTTCTTATTCCGATAAATCACCTTAAACGTATGGAACAAACGTTTTCTGTCTATAAATTCTAAATAAGTTCTGAAATCCAAGCTGACATAAACAGATACATTAAATACCTGACGTTTTACTTATTCGAATAAATGAAAGTTCTCGATCCGATCGAACACGAACTGGTAGCAAGATTTGTTTATTCCATATGAAAGGAGATTAGTGTCCATAGATGGTTACCGTTGTCTTCGTGTAATGGTTTCATTAATCCTTGCGGCTCCTCGGTGGAAAATGCTTGCCTTGACTGATGAGGCAGCCATGATAATTGAATGGTCAGAATTGTCATCACCTCATAGACTGTGCTGCAGCGCACAGTTGTCTTCATCGTCGTCGTCACCTCATTAGCATGGTAATAATCCTAACCATCGTTATCATAGTCATTGATATCCTAACCGTTCTCAGTCACCATCGGTATTCAATTTGTCTTGCACGTAAATCACGGGACTCATTGTGATTGACATCGACATGCAAATTCAGTAAAATTACTTTGACTTATGCATTGTTTTGCGTTCTCTTTCCACTTTTTCCACTCCCCCACCATACTGCCTGCCCTCGTGTTATGTTATTATGCTTTCTTCACGGTAAGGTTGTAAAATTGGTTCCGGGAACTGGATGACATCAGGTAACAGTCACTCGTTTGAGCGATGCACAAATTGAATTCTTGGGTGTGTTTGCAAGAAGCTTCAACCCGCACTCTTAGTTGATCTATCTGCCGAGATAATTGATCCACGTGTACGGCGCCGCGTCGCACGGACAGAATCGAACAGATAGCATCGGGCTCAAAAGAAAGGATTTGCTCCTTTCGCTAACTAATCCAAATGTCAATCTGTGCGATTTCTTTTCCGTCCGATGGAGCGCGAGAGATATATCTATGCGTCTTTTATCCGGCACCATTGCTTCTGTGCTCAGCATTGGAAATGGAGTGGTGGATCTGGGTGTGTGTGGCACACGGGATGGGGCATCCGTGTTAGGATATTGTGAAAGAGAATTGCTAGCCGTTCCTGTTCTCTGAAGAGCATAAGTTGTGATATAAATCAGTAATCCGTTCCATGCACGCATTTCTCTCTGGAAAAAGATATTTATATATGACAAAATTCGAGAGGCTGGAGTAACAGTTAGGGAAAGTTTGCAACCATGAAGAAGGATTTGAGTTGATAATTTATAGGAAAACCGATGAATCCTTAAACAGCTGCCTGATGTAAGATATGAGTAAAGTGATACATTCCTTCATTTGTTTCTCATGATTCCGAGAACACCTCATGACCATATACTTTTCTGTATATCAAAACCAACAGACGCTGACTGAGACCTGAGTTGTTTGATTGGTATCCGAATACTCCCAAAAATGTACAGTTCCTTCCATCTGGGATTGCGTATCTAACTCAAACATACACTGAGTTTGTACAGCACCTTCACTAAGTCATATTTGAACTGGAAAAGGGAGTCACTTTGTATTCCTTCAGACAAAGTCAAATATTTTACACAAATACTGTAAAGACAATTATGCTCAGCGCTTTCCCCTACCTAGCATACAATTTAGACGTTCATTCGTTTACTTACCGGTTAGGAAAAGCCAATTTCCTTAGGCTAAAGCCAATCTGATTCGGGGACAGGGTGCAGATCATTCTGAACTGCGTTCAAAGTGGAATAATCCAATCCGGCAGGTTATTCACCAAGACGGAACACACACGATCGAATATAAAACTCACCTGTGTGGTTGATTTACAATTTTATCCGGCGAAAATGTGTCGAACGGCAGTGAATGAACACAGCCATCCCTCTTCCTGAATTGTATATGACAGAGGCACCCTGGTGAGGAACACTGACCGATTTGTTTCGCCCTTTCACTGGTCGTGAGGATCAAGTCACGGTGGTCACAAGATGGGTTTAACCGATGGTAGAAAGCGCATTTGGTCTGGTTGAACTGGTCAAAACTGAGATTTCACTAAACGTGCGAATAATTCAAGCATCTCAATCCTCTTAAGTTGAGATCGTCCACTTTGACCGTGAAAAAATGCAAATAGCGTTTTCATCAAACTGGATCGGTTCTTATGAGAACAAATAACATCTTTATAGCAACCTAATTGGGACAAAGAGGCTCACACATCATAGTGGAAACCCACCTTTGGATAAGTCTTTCACACAATCCTTCATGGCCCAACCACAACAATGATGTTTCTGCTGAAGTTCACAAATCATTTTACGCTTTCACACCTAACACCCTAGGGGTGCCTTTCATTGCGCCAACTTTACCGCGCTAGCTTTGAACGCACTAGGAGATAACTCAATAGAATTGTCCATAATAAACCTTTTTATTCCATGAATAAGCCCGGGTTGAGTTGCTTTACCCTTGAGAATGAAAAAGTCCAATGAAAACGAGATCATTTCATTTACTGTAACAAAAATACAGCTTCTTCCCTGGTCACCGAAATGCGACCAAGTATTAGTAACTAAAACGTGTTAAACGCACCAACGTCGACTTTAAGTAAATCTGTCGTTTCGCTCTAATACACTCATATCCACGCTCCTAATTTCTTCAAGAGGGATGTTCTGCGAGCATTTGTGATGCAGTCTTTTAGGTTGTTTGTGGCTGTGGAGTGTAAACAACGGACTTCGGTCAATTCCACCCGACAGATCTGATGGGGTCAAATCTGGGCGGCTAGGGCACAGATCCTCCGATGCAAATTCATTGTTTCGTGAAATTGTTACATCAGACCATGTCCTCACAGCGCTGGAATAACGAGCACTTGCATCCCCCTGCTTGAAATAAAATCTAAGTCTTCTCTCTGGATCCATTGTGGAAAGCCACTGGAAGTAAGTTGTTCCCTTAGTTGTACCGTCAGACCTTAAGTGCGATTGCTCCGTCGTTTCACGTTTTTTTTCCCTCTCATCCATGACTTGGAACAAGTAAGTCGCGATTAGTTACACTTGGAATCCATCACCCCAACACGATTACCGGGTTGTACTTTTTGTAATGCTCTTGTTGTCATGCCCAGTCCCTCTGTGTGGTGTGGGCACTCCTGCCATACAGTCGAAGTTAATTGGGCCTGACTAAGTCTCACGGCAAAGTGTGGTTTCTCGCTGGAGTTAGCTGGGCAAGCACCAGGTCCCTTGTTGCGGCTGCACCATTCGACCGATCGATAAATGAACCTGATGGGCCGTGTGATTTTCCGTCCGGCGTAGGAAGAAGATAAGTTCTGAATCCGATGCTGCTTAATTTTTGGTCGAGAATCACCGCAGGAGAATCAGCTGTGAAACGGTGCGTCCTGTGGGAAATTCGGAATGGAAAAAGTTTATACGATGCCGCAAATCGTGGAAAATGGTCCGATCAGAGAGAGAGAGAATGGATCAGAGGGAATGTACTTGTTCGACGTCACGGGTAAGAGGGATAAGACAACGTGAAACGATGGAGCAATCGCAGTGTACTGTAGTGAGTTTCCGTTATCACATATAGTTTCCTTTGTGCTCCATCAACTCAAACGGTTCTGTGTTCACCCCACCAGGAAGGTTGAAGTCGACATCCTCAGACCAGATCACATTTTCAGCCAACGACGGTTGTCTTGAATTGATTTTCGCGACCAGTGACAGGTCGGAACAAATTGATCGATTTTGTGGGCGTTTTGCATGCCCGACTGACAATCCTTTTTTGAATGAGCGATGCTTTCTTCTTCATCCGCATGCCTCTGTTATAGCATAACCGTTTTCTGCATTGTGCGATCAACAGCCAATAAAAAAGACAAATAGTACAATTCTGCAATAAAAGCGGTAAGTTTCTACAATGTAATAACGCGGAAAGATTTGTTCAGATAAATAGAACCTTGCTTTTAGAAAACGTCTGATCGATTGAAGTTAACGGTGCCAATACCACTCAATGAACGAGTTTGCTATCTGCCTGATATAAAGGAAACAGCGAGTCCGGCTCAGCAGTGAATAGAAGAATAATGTTTCGTTTATTTTTTCTCGACACGACTACACGAGACGTTTTCAATGTGGCCTTCAATTGGCACATGAGTCTGCCAAAACATACAGTGATGCTTGAATTCGCTATCCATCCGATGAAGACGAAAACAACACTAACGGGTTTATTGAAACCAAGCATGAAAACGGGTTTGCTCTAACAAAGAGTATCGCCTGCTTAAACCATTGAGTAAGTAACACAAGTTGGCAGCGAGAAAACGATGGATTTGCATGAAATAAATCTTGACAATAGAAGCCTAGTTCCAACTGTTGTATGAACTCGTTTACAGTGTCTAGTAGACAGTAAACTCCTTCATGTGCTCTTAAATATCAACTAGGATGGTATTAGTAATAATAATAATAGAATACTAGCCATCGACAATCTAATTTCTCCATCAAATCTGGTTATGCCAGTTCAGTTATGTAAAATTCAGCGTGTGAACTTCGCACAGAACTGATTTCCGAATATGCTCATCCGCTTGATTATGTAACTCATGTTTTACCAGTGGGAAACTTTAATTGTTTCAATAAAACTCCAGAACTAAAACCACCCATTCGAACATTTACAAAAGTTAGTTGACTCACATCCCACAGCCTACTAGATTTGGAACAGGCCATTTACCATCAACGTTGAACTTGATGTTGATAAGCGAGGAGCTCAGGGTAGAATCGGTTAAAATCACATCTCAATTAGGACACAGCGTTAGATTAAATTTATCAGACCTCTATAGTAGGACGCCTAAATACCAACACTAGTACGTTTATTGTCCATAGATAATTGCAGAACCTCGCAGCATTCACGCAATAGAATCTCCTGAAAGAACAGTTTTATCCATTGGTATCCTGGACAGGATTCATTGACATCAACCAAACTCATGAAGGTCGATACAAAGAACAAGTCTATCGGTAAATCAGACACGTAATTATCATCTATTCGGAACGAAACAAAGAAATGGATGTCACAGGTGAATTTCTCCTGGCGAGAGTTCAAATGATGTCTAGCTGCCTGCACTTGGAATAACCGCATCCTGTCTAGAAACCTTTGTGTTAAATTCATGTGAGAATGTAATCGTAGATGCTAAGAAACCTTGACGCATACATTTACTTCCAATCCCAGGCCAGGAGACAGTGTCATTTCACCCATTTCAGATGGTAGATACAAAAGGGATCACGAATACTGTCGTCCAGTTATGGCATGCATAACATATCTAAGAGATATCCTCTGGGCACAAGCACTAGCATTGGCTGAAAACGCGAAAACGAGGATAACATTACGACTTTTTGAAGATTATAAATTACTAACGAATACACTTGAGGCAGCTTACCGATGGTCCATCACGAATGACATCGAATTTAACTTTTAGAAATATAAGATCATTTCACTGCTTGCGGATTTGTTGATGTTCAATCAAGAGGATATCATTGTGAAGCTCAAGATTAAATTGTGCAAGCTGTATAGATATGTTGACGACATATTATGTTTGCTCAGGATATTTAATTCCGCTCATTTGAACAACACACACTTCGGAAGAAGCGATTAATTATGAGATTGGTTTCCTCGATATCTGATTAAAGCGTCGTACACATGGTATCCACAGATCGATTTATAGAATGCTGAGTTGAGGCGACCACTATCTCCATTTCAGAAGTTTTGTGCCACTGAAACTAAAAAATCTGATTATACATTTGGTAAATAAGACGGTGAAAACATGCACTGGTGACATCAGAAATGCTGAACTATCTTTCATGGGTGATGTTTTCTTTCGAAAGGGTTATCCAGAACGCTTTGCGAATATATTATATTTCACACACGCCTGACGCCAGACTGTGTACCAAACCATGGTACAATAATCTTTATAAAAAAGAAAAGCGCTCCATGAAATGCATGTGGGCTGAATACTGACAGGTTGTCCAGGCCAAGGCATGTTAATTTTCTTGAAGAATTCACAACCGGAGCCTTCCGCTACCCAAAGCCTGACCTGTAAGGCATCAGGGCGGTGCGTGTGAAAACCGCATTCCGTTGGGAGCCGGTGTCCAGTTCATCAGAGCATACGCCCTTTGGATGGGGTTAAACGTCCAGGGTGCCCAATATACCTTGATGCCCAACCGAGCCGGTGACCACTGTCACAACCAGGTGTGACAGTGGTGCGGTTCGTACGCCTCCTCTTGGTTGGTTTGCAATCAGGGCCTTTAGACAACTCTCCCATATACTAACTGGTCCACCAACCCGGTTATAGTCGCGGATTTCGGCTTTTTGTCCTCTCAATTTGGTGGGAAAACACCCCCGCCACGTGAAGGCGGTGGGTAGGGCTTCCTCAGCAGAGGCTATTTGAGACGCTTGGTCGTATGGGATTATTTCGCGAGGTGACCAGCCGCAATCCTAGAAACCCACCCCCGATCATACTGAGGCTTTCCGCCCGACGGTACTTAGGCTTTACGAACATAATGAGGCTTTCCGCTTTACGAATAGCGTATTGTGAAATGAGTATCCAAGGGAGAGAATTGTAAATGTAGAGGAACAGCCAATACAGATTTCTCACCCATTGAGGGGAAAAAATTGCACATATGGTTCTCCGTAAACTGAGAAGTGCGGTAAAGATTTCATTCAGTGCAGCAAAAGTACGTGTCGTACTCATGTCCAGAACGATCTTGTGTTTGAAACTCAAAG